TATCAGGTGAGCCACTACAAATGCTCTCCAAGTGGATCTATGGTAATGTGAAGGTAAATTGCAGCATTTCAAAGGCCCAAAGAGCAAGAAGAGAAGCATTTAGGTTGATACATGGTGATGCTGGAGTACAATATCAAAAACTTTGGGACTATGGTGCTACTGTTCTAAAGCACAACCCTGGTAGTGTGGTTAAAATTGGCATACATAGAAACAAAGATAATCAGCCTGTTTTTCAAAAAATGTTTTTTACATTTGCAGCCTTGATTGATGGGTTTCTTGCTGGTTGTAGGCCAATTATTGGCATTGATGGATGTTTCCTGAAGTCCCCATTTGGTGGGCAACTATTATGTGCAGTAGCTAGAGATTCTAATGACAATATGTTTCCATTAGCTTTTGCGATTGTGCCAGTAGAGAATTATGAACATTGGTCCTGGTTTTTGAAAGAGTTACATATGTCAATTGGACATCCTAATGATAAGAATTGGTGTTATATATCTGATAGACAAAAGGGGTTAATGGAAGTGTTCAAGTATGAGTATCCTCTAGCTCATAACAGGTATTGTGTGAGACATTTATATCAAAATTTCAGAAATAAGTTTCCGGGGTTGGAGTTGAAACAGTTGTTTTGGAGAGCTGCATCAACAGCAAATGTTAAGGACTTCCAAGAAATAATGGAGGATATCAAGAGAGCTGATCCCAAAGTGGGGAACACACAATCTGCCTTTGAGTACCTGGATGGAATGCCAGCTAAATATTGGTCTAGGTCTCATTTCCCTGAATATATCAGATGTGATGCCCTTACTAATAATATTTCTGAGTCTTTTAACAGTTATATTAGAGAAGCTAGAATGCTACCCATTGTGAGCATGTGTGAAACCATCAGGTCAAAGCTCATGAGCAGGCTTCATGTGAAGAGAGAAGGCAGTAAAACATATGTTGGAATTGTGTCCCAATATTAGGAGGAAGATGAACCGAATGAATGAAAGTGCTGCAAAATGGTTTCTTACCTATGGAGGTGAGGAAGAGTATGAGGTGAAAAGAGGTGAGGAAACACATGTAGTACACTTCAATAAGAGAGAATGTACTTGTAGATGTTTTCAGCTCACAGGTTACCCATGTGTGCACGCAATGGCATGTGTGAATACCTTTAGGAAGAGAGTTGAGAATTATGTTGATGATTGCTATAAGGTTGAGACTTACAATCAAGTGTATGCTAATATCATTCACCCTGTTCCTGGTCCACATGACTTTGTGAGAACCCCTTATGCACAACTTCTCCCTCCTACTGTGAAGAGGGCACCTGGTAGGCCAAAAACGAAGAGGAGAAAGACACCTGAAGAACATGAAGATGAAAAGAAGTCTACTAGGAGAGGACTAACACTGCATTGCTCAATTTGCGGGGATGGTGGACATAATAAAAGGAGTTGTAAAGCCACAAGAAATGCACCAAAACAAAGCAACCAAGCACAACCAGAACAAGGAAGCAACCGGCACAACCAGTTATACCACACAGTTGCATCTAGCCCACCAACACAGGAATCACAATTTTCTAGACTTACCAACCAGGTAAAAGAACATTTTTCCTTAATTATTTAATCATTTTTTATAATTCCTTAATTAAAAATGAGACGTAAAAAAGAGACACAAAAAAATTAGATTTAATCCTTTTAAAATTATTGGGGTACGCCGAATTGATTATTGATTAAAAGTCGGGTTCGGATTTTGGGTTGAAATGCCGGGTTCGGGTCGGGTCGGGTTTTTGGCTTAAAATGTCGGGTTTCGGGTCAGGTTCGGGTTTCGGTTTTTAAAGTCGGGTCAGGTTCGGGTATAGTACTATCCGACCCGTTGCCATCCCTATGTGAACACGTTGTCAATGAAGCTAAATATATTCTCTTTAAGGTAAACTTACCATATACATTTTTGTAGGTGCAGACATCAGTTGTATATCCTTCTCATACATCTATGAAATGCATGCATATTTTGCAACCTGTGAGTAAACCACCCAAAACCACCAAAAGAGTTGCACCACTAAATGCTAAAAAAGGCACTGCATCAACCAACAAAGGTAGGATCTACAACAGTTCCAGGAGCAATGCATTGACTACTTGTCTCCCTAGTACGCATCCAGGCTGAGCGCATCCATCAACAAATCCAAGAGCTTCAACTTCAACAACTCTAGACTCAAAGTGAATATAAATCAGAATGTTGAATTTGTAGCTTTAAACTTTGTTTTGCTAGTATTTTTAAGTATCTTGATACTTTGTGTTTTGGGAAGTTTTGAAGTAGATTTTTGTGGTCCACTGTCTATAATGTGAGAACCTTAGCTTTGACAGATTGTGGTTGGTGACTTTTGATAATGGTCTTTTGCTTATCAATAACTCTAGCATTTAGTTTAATGTTTTGACATTTAATGATATTTTGTCTAGAAAATGTTCTTGATATATACATAATGGAAGCTTTTTCATTTACATATTGTAGCAATAACGTAAAATTAGTTGACCATTTGATTTTATGATTTTTTTCATTTACAGAATGGAGACTCTTTATGAATTTTTCATTTTAAATAATGTTGGCTTTCTTAAAAAGATGGCAGATGGTGCACACTCAAATTTTCAAGTACATGTAATTTTTTTGAACCAGAGGGGCACCGGTGAACATTTAGGAAATCACAGGGGGAAACGGTGCATTACACTCGTTTTAAAAATAATAAAGTTAAAAGATACTTAGTGAAACGACGCCGTACTCTTAGGGAAAAAAGCCTTAGTGAAACATAATAGAGTAATTTGTTTTCAATGCTCTTAATTTTAATGCTTTAGTTCATACGAAGTAAATTATTGTTGATTTTTTGTTTCTATGTGAATAAATGTAAGTTTATTTTTTACGAAGTACTCCGTAATAGAGTAATTTGATTTTTCCCCTTATTTTAAGAGATTATTGTTGAATACCCACTTTAAAAAGAGATTATTTTT